ACGAATGTCAAAATAAACTTATTTGCCACAGTTATAAGATCGTTTTTATAAGGTTTTAATCATAATCATCTAAACAAAAATGTAAGCTACGTATACCACTCACTTAAAAAGCTTAAAAGTATGGCTTAATTCCAACATCAAACGATATGATAAGTAAGTTTTCCAGTCTATCAACCTTTTGGTGCTTCACGCACTAGTGTTCATACAATTTTAAAAACACATAAATTTCGTCGATACAAAATAATACAATGAAGATGATCGTGATCGACGCCTGCAGTTTAGCAAACTTTTACTCAACAACCGATCGATAACCCAAATTTGCTTTACAATATCTGTTTTTTGGACAAGTACACCTTAATGATGAATAACAAAGTAATCATGCATAACCGTTATTGCAGCGATACCAATCTATATTGCTTTAGGGAAATACTTAACACCCTTAAAAACTCAGTGTATTGACCCCAAATTTTGGAGACTGTATTGTTGGACAACTTTTCATTGATGGTTATCTTAATGGAGCGACTTACCTGGAATTATCAGAAAATACCATGGACCCTATAATCACGGGAATTTTAAAAACCGAAGATATCTGTTAGATGACCAGATAATGTTTCAGCAAGATTGTGCACCGAGTTATCATGCTATTCAAGTTCAGCTAGATCTCTAAGTATTATTTTCTTAGATTTTCCTCTGGTTGCTGTTATATAGCAAAAATACACAAGAACTGTGAAAAAGAATTACCTCCGAATGCCAGAGAATAACTATTGAGGCTTTGAGCTAAGCTAAGTCTAATCTGAGCTAAGTTTGAATTAAAATTTTATTATTGCATTGAACTTAGTAGAGGTCATTTCGAGCAAATGACCTCCAATTCTAGAATCTGCTAAATTTTTCGAAGCTACACGAACCTTCTATACCAACCCTGTCTAGGTTTTTTATGGGTCAGCCATAACTTATGAGATTTAGAACAATAATTCTAGTTGCAATTTTTCAATGACAATTTTAAAAGAAATACTTTTAATTCTTTTCAATTTTTTAGGTTTTTTAAATATTCCCGTTCATTATATGATAAAGTTATTTTAGACACACTGTTAGTCGTCACTTAAAATTATTGTCTTGCAAACTTAGCTTGTTTTATACCTTTCATGAACGTATTCACAACTATTATCAACGGTTTTATTTCTTGTGTCTTTGTCCAAAGTCTTTCTAAATTGAAATACTTCTTTAATTATAAAATAAACTCCACAAATATTTTTCTTTACTTTCACTACAAACTTCTTGTTAGCTTTACTTTTGACACTATGATAATTTGCATTCGAAACGTTATGTCAAAATGAGTTTATATTATTTGATCAGAGGAAAATTTCTATTTGCCAATACCAGCACAATATTTTGATGTCTCTATAATAATATATAAAATAATTTCGTGTCAATGTTAGTCGCCATACTCCTCCGGCTGGAAACGGCTGGACAAATTTTTATGAAATTTTATGTGTATTCGGAAGGTCTGAGAATAGCTTGTATTATATTTCTCATACGCCTAAGAGATAAGGGTGGTCCACCCCAAATATACTTTATAGACTACAACAAGGCATTCGATGAAGTAAAGCATGACCGACTTACTCAAAAACAAGAATCTGGATCTGAGGGATCTAACATTGAAAATTTATACTACAGCCAACGATCAAATGTGAAAATTGGAAGAGAAGTGTCAGAAGAAGTGGAGATAAGATGAGGGATCAGGCAAGGTTGCATACTGTCGCCGTTATTGTTTAATGCGTATTCTGAAGCAATCATACAAGAAGCTTTGGTAAACGAGACAGTCGGCATACAAGTGAACGGAAGTTTAATTAACAACATTAGGTATGCCGACAACTTGGAAGACTTAGAAAGAATAATGAGCAACAATACAAATTAAATAGGCGGCCAGCAGATTGAAAGAGTAAAAAGATATACTTACTTAGGTACGATAATCACAAAAAATAAGGATTATACTGCAGAGATAAGAGTCAGAATTGAAAAAGCACGTGCCAACTTTGTGAAAATGAAAAAGATTTTAGCAGCAAAGATCTGATATTGGCCCTCAGAATGAGGCTAATTAAATGCTATGTACACAGTGTACTCAACTATGGAGCTGAATCATGGACATTAAACCGGAATACAATAAATCGACTTAACGTATTTGAAATGTGGACATTTAGAAGATTGTTAAGGATTCCATGGGTAGATAGAGTCACGAATGCAGAAGTGGTAAGGAGAATAGGCAGAGAGAAGGAAATGGGAAATACAATAAAAGAAAGGAAATTGCAATATCTTGGACATGTAATGAGAGGCGAAAGATTCAACATCTTGAGACTCATAATTCAAGGAAAAATAGAGGGTAGGAGAAGTGTAGGAAAAAGACGCGTTTCCTAGTTGAGGAACCTGAGGGAGTGGTTTGGTTGCAGCTCAAGGCAATTGTTCAGAGCAGGTGCCTCGAAGGTCAGAATAGCCGTGATGATTGCCAATCTAGAAGAAGAACCCCAAATATATTTTTTATTTTTTAGACAAATTTTTTTGTTTTGGTTTTTTTATGGTAGGGCATTAAAAAATACATACAACCCTTAATTTTCACCCTTCTATCACCAACCCTAATTTTTTAATAGCCATATTAGTGCCACAGAGTTCGTTGCTATACTCCTCCGAAAAGGCTAAACGAATTTTGATAAAATATTATAAATATGTATATTCCATAGTTTTGAAAATAGGTCATAATATATTTTTCATACCCCTAAGTAATAAGGTGGTCAACCCAAACATTTTTTAAAATTTTTTGGATACATTTTTTTATTTTTATTTTTATTGATGTGGAATTACATACTACATACAATACTTAATTTTCACCCTTATATCACCAAACCCCGATTTTTTAACAGCCATATTAGTGTCACAGAGTTAGTTGTCATGCTCCTCCAAAACCGCTTGACCAATTTTAATGAGATTTTCTGTGTATATTCGGTAGGTGTAAGAATAGGTCGTAGTATTTTTTCATATCCCCAAGTATTAGGGGTGATCCGCTATACCCAATTTTTGTTTTATTTTTTCGACAAAATTCTTTATGTTTATTTTTTATGATCTAGCATTAATCATTTCACCTCTTAATTTTCACTCTTTTATCACTAACCTCTATGTTTTAATAGCCATATTAGTAATTTAATCATTTTAACCATGGTCGATAACTTATCAATTATCACTAAATCAGTTACCCTGTTAGGCGTCCACCGGTGTCACTTCTCACCAAGTAACCAGCATGTCGGCAGCATTGTCGGCCATGTTGATAATCTGAATTAGACCATTCTGAATTTTCAGGAAAGTTGTTTTTGTTAAAATTAGGTGACACAGTTATAAATCAGGATGATGTAGTCAGCTATCCTACAGTTTTTGAATTCATTGGAAGTTCCTTTGCTCCCACCTAACAATTTACAATTTAAAGTAGGATCAGTTGTCATAATGCTGCGTAACATTAATCAACCTTGACTGTGTAAAGGCTGATTTATAAACTTTACGTTGGCGTTGGCGCTGGCGTTCGCCGTTGACCTTGGCGCTGACTATCATACACTGCATTTATAAACTTTTGGTTGGCGTTGGCGTTAAAGATCACATCTTAATTTCTTGCCTTACATTTTTGATTTGGTATTATTAATTTTTGCTTGAAAATTAATACAATGGAAATTGCTCGGCCTTTATTAGGTGCAGTGGCACTGTATTCGAGCAGCACTGAGCCTTCGAAATAAAAGACAACGTCGATACAAACGGAGGCCCATTAACCAAAACAGAAAGACAAGAGGTAATTTTAATTATTATAAAAATATGAAAAACTGGGATACCCAGCAATTTTTTAAATACACCAGGATACAGTTTCCAGTATTTGAAAAATTACTGCAAATGATAAAACCAAAAATAAATGTAAACTATCGCTCTGATGGAATTTCTGTTGAAGAGAGGCTTGTTATTATCTAAACTTTTCCACTTTATAAACACGTGGAAACATAAACAAATAATTTAGTTTGATTTGTTTGACAAACGTTGTCACTTTGTCGGTATTGCTATTGGCTGCGATGACAAAGATAAAGTTTTATTTTATGTTCTGAGATCGTGACTACAACCACAGAAGGGTTTGTGTATTCTGTGCTACAACGGCCAACGGCAAAAGATAACGTTGGTTCATCTTGGACGGAATCGAACGCCGACGCCAACGGCGAACGATGTTTATAAATAAACATATGAGTTTTCCATTTGACCTTGTTGTAACGCGAACATCAGCGCCAGCGCCAACGTAAACTTTATAAATCAGCCTTAATGGAACGAGACTGACTGTGAAAAAACTAATAATGTCATTGAGACAACGATCGTCTAGGAACAATACAAACGAAAGGATGTCTTGATCCCGCGTACACCGATGATTCCAACGAACCTACCATTTGATTTTAAAGGTTTACAATTTCCCATGCGTTTGGCTTTTGCAATGGCAATAAACAAATCACAAAGCCAACTGTTATAAGTTTGCGAAATTAACTTAGCGGTTCGATGTTTTGCGCATGAACAATTATTCACACTTCGAAAAACCGTGATTGTTGTACATTTATGCAATGCAAAGAAAATAAAAATATTGTTTATCAGAAAGCATTAAAATGATTTAACTTTTTTCATACCTACATATGTAGTTTTTTTTGTTTTTTTTTTGTGTTAAATTTTACAATAAAATTTAATCAAATGAGATATCATGCGTGCAGTATTGAAAAATCAGAATTTTTACATTTTACGTTTACACATTTACAAGTGCGGTTTATGGCAAACAAAAATAGCTTCGTACTTATTGGAGAAAAATTTAAAAAAATAAAAATACAATAACTAGGACGCTTAAAATATACGGATTTTAGTAATAAAACAATAAAACTTTTACAAACAGTAAATTTGTAATTGAAAGTAAGTTTTAAAATATATTTTTAATGAAATTAACTTACCTTACTTCAAATGGAACGTCTCCTTTTTGTGTAAAAGTGTATTTTCCTTTAAAAGGACATTTGTTAGGTTTGGGATTTCTCCTAAAGTAGTAGTTATGTGTAGTATTCTTTCCCGTCTCAAAGAATGGAAAGGAACAGGCTCTATCAAATTGATGATGTACTGTTGGTTTTCCTCGTTTATATGTGATAATGTTGTCCTCATTTTTTACGAATTCAAAACATACATAATCATTTGGGCTTAAAATAAGAATAAAAATTATAAAGATAATACCAATAAGTCATGTTATAATTTTTTCAAAGAAAAATAATAAAGTTAAACAGGTAACATGTATAAAAAATCGGCTATTATAATTTATTGCACTTTGGCAATATATAGCGGTTGAGTATACCAATAACTGCAAATTTGTAGATTATTTTACCCCATGCTAATGTAAATTAAGAAATTGGACATGGATCGTACCTAACAGAAAAACCAAAAATGAAATAGGCTATTTTTCCTAAAACAGCAAAGAGATATTTGAAGATGTCACAATAATAAAAAACGTAATAACTGGTAGTGACCATGGTATAACGAAAAAATCCGAGCAGTGTTAGCGACTAAGTACGAAAGAGATCATCCACATAATCAGAACCAAACTGGCGAAGTCAACAAAAACATAAGTAAAAATCTTCTCGAAGCCGGACTACAGGTCGCAAAGAAAACAAGTGCTAAAGAAAATAAGCAACGAAACTAAGCAACGTATGAAGGAAAGAAGACAACTACTAGCGGAAAACAAACAGCATACTAAAAAATACGTAGAACTAAATAAAACAATTAGAAAGGAACTAAAATGTGACATCAAAAAATGAAACGAAAACTTAATAGAGCAGGTCATATAGAACAACAGAGGATTTAAAACCTCTATGAAAAACACTGAGTGTTCAGAAGATTATCAAAATTAAAGACATGAATAACAAGGAAAAGAAGAACAAATATAAAATAACAAAGATAGTTGAAGACTTCTGCAAAACCTTGTATGGCTCGCAAAGCCAACCTAATAAACCAACAAAAGAGAACGTCAAGGAAAAAATAAAAGAGTGGGATCAGAAGTACTACCCAATATAGAGCGATTCGAAATAGAAAGACCTAAAAGCTCCAAGACACGATAGTATAATTGCCGAGCTTTCGACAATAAGTAAGACAATAACAATCCCAATACTAACAGAGCTATTAAACAGATGTTTTTATAGTAGCAAAATTCTTAAAGACAGAGAGAGAGAGAGAGAGAGTCTAATAATGCTTTTACACAAAAAAGTTGATCGTAATCAAAATCGAAAATCGAAATGTGACCTAAATAAATTATAGACGTATCTCAGTCAAGTGTACACATTGTTTATGAGAACTATTAACAACCGGTGGACTCCAAAATGAATAATTACCTACTGGTAGAACAGGCTGGCTTCCGCAAGGGATATGGTACATTAGATCATCTGCTGACAATGAGGTATATTTGGAAAAGAGAATTCAAAAGAGGAATTGCGTGTTATACAGAAATAAGAATAAAAATAAATACCGTTATAGAAAAAGAGGAAAATATAACAATTTTCGGGTGAAAAAATGGAAAATACTAGAAAGTAAATGTTCTAGAATACATTCGAGATAATTTAGCTCTAGAAGACGGCTTTAAAACTACGAATTGATCAACATATGACATGAACATCAATGGCAATAAGTTAAACCACTACAGATTAGTTGACGGCATCGTGATCCTAGCGAGCACATTCGAGAAATTACAAACTATGGTGGAGCAACTTGCAGACAGCTCTCAATATATCTCAATATCTTGATTTAATTATTTATTGATTAGTGACAAATTATTATTTTTAAATAATATAAAAAGATAACTTACCATCCGGTCACAGAATACCTTGCCATTACGAAGATATTATCCCTTTGTTCTTGACAAATATAATCAGTTGTCATTATTTTACCGTTAATAGTGTCAGTTTCTGCGATGTGAGTTTGGTTTATAAAGATCTTTGCATCGATATTAACACTGTCTATCCAGTCTCCACTAATAATTTGTGGAAGTTTACACCCTGCCTCTATAGAATTTTGCTTTACTAAAAATATATTTTAAACAGCTTAAAATGAGAAAGTTCGCAGGGATTGGCTGTATACCGTAGCAGTTAAAAAACTTTACAATAAAGTAAAAACTACCAATGTAATTGGTATTTGTTTAATTAAAACATTAAACTGAGTTGGCTGGTATATTCTGAACAACCCAAATGCGGGTTTAGTTTCGAGTAGGGCCATTATGTTCGCTGAAAGCCAATTTTTCAACATCGGCATTGTGTCGTTTCAAATTATAATTTACTGAACAATTATTCTGAACAATTGTAATCCGTTTGGAGTTTTAAAATTTGAATGTTTTAACATATACCAATTACGTTGGAAGTTTTTACTTTATTGTGAATATTTTAAATAATTTTAAATTCACTAGTTTAAAGATGTTATGATGGAAAAGACCATCATACCATTACCAATCGAAATTTTTAAAATTATTTGATGCTCTTGTTAATGATTTTTTTATCTTCTTTTTCTTACGGTACCATTTTCTATTGAAGGTTACAACAATGTCATCGAAGTAATGTCTGTTTTGTGCAGCTCAAAACAGTGAATGTGAGTCACAAAATCAAGCCGTAAAACTAAAGGTCTTACATACGTAGAAGTTGATAAGAATATAGTAAGTATTAGATTATCGTTATCGTACTAAGTTTATTTTTTTAATGATAGGCATTTTCTGAATAAAGTTATATTTACCAATTAGGCTACATTCACCACTAATGGAATTGTATCATCTTAAAATTGTGGATACTGAACCAGAGATAACCCCCACTAGAATATAAATTTATTGTAAAAATCAATATTCCCAGAAAGTCAATGTCTGGTGTAGGATTTTGGGAGACCAAATAATAGGTCCTTTTCTCTTTAATTAATCATTAAATGCTGTTTATCTAGTTAATTTTTTCGATGGGAAATTATGGGATACCATAGAAGATCGGTCTCTCAGTATGCAACAGGATATAATTTCCAGCTAGATGGTGCATCCATTCACAATTCAAGGATGGATTCAATGGTTAAACCAAAAATTTCCTAAGCGCTAAATAGGAAGAAATAGTCCTTCTGAACCCTGGTCTTCGATGTACCGTGATAATACACCACACGATTTTTATTTTTTGGGGAGTAATAAAAATAAATTTTATAAAACAATGCCCCGAAATTAAACGATTATCAGACAGATGGACTAGTCAAGCGAGATTACGTTGAATAAATTGTCATTTGTACTATGAAAATTATTATTTTAATTATTTTCTTAAATTTAATCAGTTGACCAAAAATTATTGTTTTTTTTTTAATAAAAAATTATTCATTTGTGTTAATGTTATTTATTTTACTGAAGAATTTAAAGTAAATGAATATTAAATATTAAATTAAACCAGTGGTGCACATAGAATTTGCCTAGGGAGGGGTTTGGTTGGGCACCGATTTTTTTTTATACTACCTCCATTTTGACTCCTTAAAATTTGGGTTTTAGTTTAATTTAAAGTACTAAAGATAGCGATGCCAAAGATTCAGGTATCTGTTATCCTGCCTACCAACTAAAACCATCCTCGCCTACTTAAATCAATTATAATTTGCGAACTAAACATTATTACTTTTATAGAAAAAGTGAAACTAAAAAAAAATGCTTTTACGCATTCTTATAACCCCGTTTTTTAAAAGTACGCATTTGGGATTGTATGATCGCTTACGTAATTTTATGAACATAGGTCACATTTATCAGATCCAAAACCTGCATAATCACCGCACTTTTCATGTGACCATTCAGCACATGCTATGCACTTAATTCAGTCTTGTGTGATAGATTCTTTAAATGTTTCGTTGCGCCCTGGTCAGCTCCAAATTTTCTTATGAGGCGTTGTTTTTGGCTTTGTGAAAACAGCTTTTTCATTTTCTTGTATCTTCTATGCCGGTCTGAGGTTCACATCAGATTCCCTTTTTAAACTCCCTCCCAGAAGCGCTTGTCGTGGTGGTAAGTTATCGCCAACATCCAGTTTGAGTTTGTATTGCGGCTTTTTTCTTATTTTCTTCAATTAGTTGGTCCTTATATGGAGAACTGGTGATAAATTCCGACTTTTTGCTTCTGCGATGTCTAGATCTAACCACAATTGATTTAGGTAACGAATAAATGGTTCTTAATTTAATATAACTTAATAATGTTCTAGGAGTGTTTGATAAATCAAATGGATATATTATCAACTTTTTCTTCCAAAGTTATTGCAGATGTGTTGGAAACCAGATCTGTAAGCTGAGGAGTTTTTGATCTATAAAATCCTTCTCGTACATTTAAGTTCTGATGTATGTATTTCGCTGATTATGGCATTTCTTTCATTAACATGAATATTTTCCTTAGTAGTGGAATTCTCAAGAACAATATTTGGACTGTTAAGAACATTGGGAGTATGTTCAGAGGCTGATTCAGACATTTGATGTGGTTGAATATTGATTTTAGACGTAGAGTTTTTAGTTACTCCTGATTGTACGGTAAACCACAGACCTCTGATATATACGTTAAACGCTTCTATTTCCGTAGTTACTGCAGCTCTAGCAGGTTCTTCTCGTTCTGTGACAGAAGTGGCCATGAAGTTAGCGTCAGTAAATATGTCATTATTAAATTGACATATCCTCGCCACTTTAAAACCTTCAATTGCATTCGTTATAGTAGCAGGTTTAAAAAATGCAGGAGCAAATATTGAAACAATTTGGTAAACTGTAATTACCCGCCCTGGATGGTTGGTCAGCCATTTTTCTCATTCGTTGGAATAAAACTTTTTTAGCGGGCTAAAAAAACATCTGTCGAGTGGCTGCATACGGTGACTATTACGAGGAGGAATTGTTAATGTGAAAATGTTATATTGTCGAAAAAAATCAATTGTTGCAATGGAACAATGGGAAGTGTGATTAACCATTATCAATACGACTGGTTGTTCCTTTGTCGGCTTAGCGTGATCTCTAAAATATGTGTAGCATAATCAACAAACAGGTCCTGATTGATGAAACTACTGTCGGATACCATTCCAAGTGATGATGGTGGAGCTCCATCCAAAAGTTCTGTCTTCATTCTTTTACGTGGATATATAAATGCGGAATGAATATATTGTCCACTAGCACTCATTGTGCATACAACCAGAGAACATACGAACAGAAGCGACACGAGGCCCGGAATTCGTGTATCTTTTCTGTATACGCATGACCCAAATAAGGTGCTTTACTGTCAAAAACACGTGCGTTTTCTTCAATTTTAAGTTGCTTACGATAGTCCGTAGGCATCTGTGGTAAACTCTCGCCTATACAAGTGCATTTGACCATTTATCTAATTATTTAGTAGTTAAAAGTTTATAGTTATAGTTTATAGTTAAAATATATAAGTTAAATATATAAGTTTATAGTTATAGTTTATAGTTAAAAGTTTAATTTATAAGTATTTAAAATGTCTTCTGGTTATTGTTGTGCGTTTCGCGGATGTTCATCTGTGACAGGAAAAGGAATAAGTTTATTTAGATTTCCTAAGAATAATAACCGGTAATTACTATTGCTTTGTAATTATTATTAGTTATTACATAATAGTATTAATTTGACTTTGAGTAAGCCGACACCGACGTGTCCGCACGAGCTCTCGTTAAGTGAAGCAATAAAAAAATAAATTTTGGTTTGCCAAGGGATAGTTCAGAATAAAAACCAGAGAACTACGAACACACATTAAATTTATTGTCTCCGAAGGCTCAGGTCAAAAAATCAACACAGATGTTGGCCTACTAGTGTGAAAGCGCTCGCAGACAACAATACGAATATAGTATTTTTAGGAAATAAAAATATATAGAGGGTTTTATACACGAGAATATTTGATTTAAACGAAACAAAGAAATTCCTAAAATGCTCAAACTAAAAATTGTTGGAAACATAATTAGATCGAAAATTGGGAAAATCTTAAAATTATAACAGAACAAGACTTCAAAATAAAAACATGATTGCAAATAAACAAACTTACATTAACATAACTTCAAATATTTGCTGTCTTTTTCACCAAACAAACTTACATTAAATTATGAAAAAACTAAATGCTCATCTACTTTTTGCTATATACAAAAGTTGTCTTTCAATGTTTAATTCGTTAAATATTACTTAATTAGGAGAAAACTGTAAATTTATTAAGATGAGATATTGACAAAAGTTAAATACTTCATTACTTACAATACACTTAGAATATACTAATACTCTTATAGTTGTAAGTAATGAAGTATTATTTATAAATACAAAAAACTCTTTTCTACTAGTCAAACCCTTTCATTTGATACCCATATTATTATTATTATTATTATTATTATCCAGATTTAGCCATACGGCTCACACTCCCTCTAAGGGGAAAATTCACTCATCCCAGATACCTACGGTATCAAAAGGATTGAGCTCTGGTGGGACTCTTTCCATGTTATCGAGTCCTAGGTGACTTGGTACGTCGGTGTATCTCCCAAAAATTTTCGCACGCATCTGGAAGTCGAAAGTAGCACAGATTTCTGCATGATCTTATATAGATGTTCATTTAGACCCAGCTTTTTTATGTTTTCTAGGAGGTTCTTCGGAATGACTCCAGTGGTAGAAAGAATAATAGGTATCGTCTGGGTACTTTCCATTCTCCATTGTCTCCTTATTTGTATTTCCAGATCTCTGTACTTGGCGATCTTTTCGTTGTACTTAACACGCAGATTATTGTTGTTAGGTATCGCCACATCGATTAGAGTTGTTTGTCTTGTTAGTTTATTAACTAGCACGAGATCTGGTCTATTATGTGCTACAGTTTGGTCTGTGAGCACAGTGCGATCCCAGTATAGCTTGTAGTTGTCATTCTCAAGCATACTCTCTGGAACGTATTGATAATATGGGAGATGGTTTGTTTGTAGAAGTCCCAGTTTAATAGCTATCTCTTGATGGAGAATCTTCCCTACTGAGTCATGCCGTTCCTTATATTCAGTATTATTATTATTATTATTATCCAGATTTA